ATAAAATTAAGTGAAGTGCAGTCATGTTTAAAGTGGGAAAATATGACACAAAATTCACTTGTAATTTAGTACTTGATCAACTGAGAGGGACATGGCTGGTCTAGATTGAGTGTGCCACGTCAGCTTGACTGGACTTGCTCATTATCTGCATGTGAAGGGAATAAACAGTATTAATTACGTATTAAGACATCTTTAATCGTTTTTATGTAGTGTGGTGTAGGTAGTGATTAAATTGATGGGTTTTGTACATGTATAGTTTTAATAAATTGTTAAACCTAAAATAGTAAAACTACTCTCCAAAGAACCTCTCAGAATTCTACTGATATGTATTTTTTTACTAATAAATTTTAGTTACAAAAATAATTTTTGAAAGTAAAAATGGTAGAGTCCTGCTATGCAATATAATGAGTAAATTCTCAATATTCATGAAATCTCTCATTAAAAGATTTTTCAGTCTGGTTTGGTTTGAGAAAAGTTAAAAATCTACAATTTCTCGAAAAAAGTTAAAAATCTACCATTTTTTTTTTATTTCACTGGGGTTTCAGTTCGATTTTCTAAACATATACCAAGAATGGCCTCTTAGAACAGGAAGAGGCAAAATATGGTCACTAACTTCAATTGTATGCCTATGAGGAACCCAAATCTTAACAATCTCAATGTAACAATTTATTGAATCAAATAATCTTTTTATTCACCAATACAATGGTGTTTGGGCTGGATCCAAAAGACATGACAAAGGCCAATTAGTAATAGCGTGGAAAATTCCAGAAACTTCTAGTTTCTACACTTTGCACTTGAGGGCCAAGTAGCTCATGTTCGTGCTCATTTAGTCATTTAATAAACAAAAATGCTCTAATATAATGTTGTTGGTGGTAGATTCCAATTCAATTTTTGCATCTATTTTGACTGATAGAGAAGAATATACTTACGTGGAAACATCAGTATAATAGCTACGGCGAAGGTAAAATTTCAAAACATCAGACTTCTTTGGTACCTTTGTACTCAAGCATCAGCCAAGATTCATTTACACAACGTAAAACGGTTGCATACCATTGATTATTTTTTTCCCCTGAAAACATAAAATAAAGTAATTTATTACTATAATAGTGAAGTCTGAAAAAGTTTCACAAAGAAAGGTGTAAAGCTCAATTTCTCAAGTGTTCAAGACTTCAAGCAGTAAGAGAAATTACAAAGTTGCAAAAAATAAACATTCAGAAAGGTAGAAAAGGCCAAGGCATAGCAGAGACTTGGAATGTTTAAGTTCTGCAAGGTTAAGACACACACAATCTTTCAAATAATCTTTAACAGATGAAGCCATAATTGGAAATTGGAAATCGTAGAACAATTTTGATAAGTCAATATGATAAATTGGGCACATAGAATGGCAGTCAATTTATCAGAACTCATACACGTGTGAAGCAAATGGAAGCAGAAAAATTTGCATGAGTTGCTGAATAAAAGAAAAGAAAAGAATAAAATCTCATGCGTCTCACTTTTATATTCCAAAGATAATACAGTCACTGTTGAGAGTAACCATATTTACATATTCCAGATGACTTGCAGTGATGCAAGTGTGAAGTCAATTAACACGTGAAAAATAAAATAATTTTAATAAGAAAATGGTGTCTCAAAAGCTAGTATTCAAAATAGTACTAGAAAAGATGTTTTTCTTTTTAGTGATAAGTAGATATTTCCAGATGATATATTTCATAACTCAGAATTTCATCCTCCGAATATGTTTCTTCAATATTTGTACAATACCAGAATTGGCAGGAAAAGAAATTTGCATCCTCTCAGTCGAATAATCTTACTTGTTAAGAATCACCGATGAATTGCTCAGATCATCAGCAGTTCCTTTGCTGCCAGAATCAATTCCTAATGATACCGGCTTCGTAAGTTGATCTTCTTCCAAGTCCATGGCACTGGCACTGTAACAGAAGGTACAAATTCTCTCGGCAATTATAGGCACTACCTAAAAGCTTTGAACAGACTATACAAGCTTTTACATGCATTGTAAGTGCTGCAAGGCCAAATTCCTTGCCAAAGCCATATTTCATTCCTTCAATATCATGCAATCTAAAGTTGACTTATCAAGCTCCAGTAACATGATAAGTGTGTAACAAGTATTCATGTGTGCTCAGTGAAGCATGGAGAATGGCTCAGAATTCAGATACATTTTGTTAGTAAATTGCCAAGTTAAACATAAAAAAAATTAAAAGTGAAACCTATCTATCTAGTGTACAAAATGGTTATACAAAGTTTGAACTTTGAAGTATGCCTACAGCTGCCATAGGCTAGTTGCAAAATAATTCTGAATTTTACCATCATTTTGTTAATCCAGAACTGTATATTACAATAGTGGGCATGGCAATTGATAATTGCCTAAGTATAAAGGCAATAAAAGTATTGTTAGGTCCAAATTGAGTAGGATGAGATTCTAATTTTTCATAAGCAGCATTACCACCATTCAAATTCAACTGAATAAATACATTTTCCTGGGGTTAACTTAAACGCACCTAGTNATCAATACATTACCCGATCCTTAAAATCCGTAAATTCCTTCTGTTGCTGCTCAATAGTGGAAGCCATGGCAAGAATCTCTCCCTCCAACCTGATGATCTCTCTGCACAACTTCTCAGGATTTTCCTCACTTACAGCATACTTACTTTATAACAACTGAAAGAGTTTATTACCATATATCATTAGAAAGCACTCTTTTATGATTTCTCAAAGGATTATAGAATCTCCCATGTAACTTTGATTATCGGTTGATCGAGGAATCGATTAAATAGTACATCCCGATCCATCGACCCTCAAGTACATCAAAGAAATCTAAACAATTATCAAAGAACAACGTACATGGAGTCCCAAATCTAAAATTCAATTTCCAGCATACAAATTTCAGTTTGGGGATGCACGCGTGCACACACGGATTTAAATGCCTTCACAATTCATAAATCAGTAGTGAAACTGACAAGCGCGAAATCTTCAAACATTTACATAAAAACGAAATCCATATAAATGTCTGTCCAGGTACATCGACACTTGAGTGCATAACAACATATCTAAACAAAATTATCCGTGAATAACGCACATGGAGTCCCACTTCTAGAAATTGCATTTCCAGCATACAAACTACCAGACAACACATAATGTATATGAATCGACGGAAAGAAAATCATAAACTGCTAACGTCAAGCAACAATGTCAGCAGCAAAACCCCTAAAACCAGCAGCAAAAATTCAAAATCGCGAATTCTAAAACATTTCCATAAGCACGAAATCCATAAAAATGTTTATCTCTAAGCGAATCGACTTCATCTCCTTCAAGCTCGCAAAAATCCAGAGACATTTAAGAAGAGAAAGAATGAAAGGGACTCGTTAGCAGAGCTTACTGGAGCTCGTGAAAGACATGGCCGCAAACAGAGATCGATCGGAGGTCAGCAATCAACGGCTTGAGATCTTCGCAAGAATCGCAACAAATTGAAGCTTAATGGTCCTCCATTGTTGTTGAGCTCGACAATCAAAATCGATTTGTACTTTTATATATATTATTGCTCAATTCTTAAATTGGGCTTATTATTTTGGATTTGGGCCGTCAACTTTTAAATGGACTGATTTTATGATGTTAGCCACTTAGCCTTACTTTATGTATTGGGCTGAAAACAAACAATACCAGTCCATAGTATACGTGTTGAGTAAACAATGAGCCAATTGTTTTACCAAAAAAAAATAAAAAATAACTACAAGAAAATCAGTAAAAAACATAAGTAATTGGCTAAACGCAACAAGCCTCATACTGTATATCAAATAAAATATGGTCTTGCAGAAAAATCTGACAACATTGGGTTAAGAATTGTATTAAGATTCATTAGTCGATCTGTCTAGTAATATAACATTCATATTATAGGTATATATTTATGTTCAAGAATGTGTAGATTTGCCTTGTCTGATCTTAATCTTGCACGTCTAATTTTTGCCCTACCGCTTCAAATGACCTTTGTATTTAGTATATTAATATTATTATAATCATTTCTGACAAAGCCCTAATGATATATGGAGAAATTCCCTAATTAACCACGTAAGAAAAATGGTATTAGAGATAGCATATGCCCCAAAAATTATACACTTGGTTGATATTGAACAGTGGAAATGATTCATTTAAATTTTGACTAACTAATTGAAATGGTTGATTATGAATAAATATTTCCGTAAATAATTTGTTGCTTGACATGTAAGAGTAATTTAATTTGCAATCGAGTTTCATCTTATAATGAACTTTTTTTTTTAAATTAGTTTATAAAAAAAAATATCAAATCACTAGTCATCACAATAGAACTATAATTTCTAAATTCTCATGGATTAACTTTTTAATTCAAACAAACAATAGAACTATAATTTCTTAATTCTCATGGATCAACTTTTTAATTCAAAATTTAAAATTCAGGAACAAAAATGCTACAACTATTTGTGAGTTGTGACCAATAGACCATAATTGCGGACCAATTTGGAGGACGATTATATATAACAGGCAATCTAATGATGGCGCGAATCTTATAATTACGCATATTGTTCTTTTTTCTTTTTTACATCGTAGCATGTCAGTTTATAGTGCATGAACAAGTGATAAGATTGGATGGGTATCAATTGACTGGGTGATGCAATAAAGCCTCTAAATAGTGCTGGAAAAAAAAAAAAAATAATAATAATAATAAGTGGA